TCGCGTCAGACCTGAGGATGATAGCTATGTACCTGGCTTCTCGGGGCGTTTTCCCAGGTAGCCGCGTTTTTGACAATATGGTTTCGAGCACGCGAGTTTTAGAGCAGGCCCGACAATGGCATCGAGCTCAGAAGTAACCGCCCCCCCTTGATTTGACCCCCATCGGCTTCTTCACACGTCAGAGGTCGTGGGTCTCAGGCCAGGGCTTTTGCGAGCCCGCTGGCAATCGAGGCCGTCACACAGGGTGGAGGCCGCGTGACCGCCGCGAGCAGGGACATCGCTTCGAGTTCAATGAACGAGTTCCGAGCCGAACTTTTCGCTGCCAAACTGACCTCGCTCAGACACCGGAGCCAATGTTGTGAATGAACGAAAATGAAGCGCAAGGGGGCGTAGAGGACGCCGAAGCAGGATGCGACACAGCACGCGAATACACGCAAGGTTCCCCCTCTTCCATGCCGAGGCAGAAGGACTGGGGGGGAGGGGGCGCACCCCTCCCCGCAATGCACGTTCCGACTCATGGTTTTCTTCCCCCCCATCCTCCCCCTTCTTTCCCCATGTGCATTGCCCCTTCCAGCATGGATCCTGTCTCACCCTGTTTCCTCCCCCCCCTCGCCGCCCCCCCCCCCCTCGAACTCGCCCAGACGCCGCGCGGGTCCACGGTGACTCTAGCGCCCCACGTCGATTAGTCCTGGCGGACTTGAACGCTTCCACTGCGGGCGCGCACTTGTTCTTTGAAAATTGATTCTCGGAGACTTGCCAGCATGGCCCCTTCGCGCGCCGACCGCGCCGCGCCGGGCTCCTCGGGCGACGGCCTGGTAGCGTTAGTCCGCGTGCCCGCGCCGGAGCGCGCGCGATCGTTCAGTCCGACCTTCGCAACGAATGGAGATCTCCTGAGTTCGAATCAAGGGAGGTCAGTTGTGGCGGGTGCTCAGCACGCGTCGCGATGTCGGAGTTGCGATGCTCATTTCGGTGGGATCCACGCCACCAGATTGGTTCGCGCGTTGCCCGCGCGTACTTCTTCAGGACAGTTGACGCATAACGTCGCCCCCGGGGGCCCCGCGACCCAGCTTCAGAGACGCCGATCGCGCCCTCCGACGCCGCACGCGCACGAGCATGCCGAGCGCATAAGCCGCGAGCATTCTCCGCGGAAGAGAGCGGCGCCACCCGATCACGATTGGCCTGCGAGCCCCGGCCCGAAGACCTCGGCCCAGGCCCTAGAAAGCAAGCGCGCACAGGAGACAATGATGCAAGTATGGGTCGACGAGATCCAGATATCACCAGGGAATCCAGAGCGAAGACCTGCACCTGCGCGGGCGCAAAGAACACCCGCGCTCGATCAGCCCACGACCGCACCCGCTCCCGCGGAGAGATCCTGCGACGAGCACGCACCGGAGCGCGGCGCCTGCCTCCTCGCTGGGGCTCGCGGAGGCCATGTGCCGAACGCGCCCGCCACTCCCCCCCGCCACTTCGCGCGCGTGCGAACCCGAGGCTTCCGGTCGACGGGCTTGGCGTCGCCTCGCGCGTAGATCCCCGAGCTGCATTGTTTGGGCGGCGCCGCATGAGCAGCGCCTGCCCCCGGAGACGTTATGTTGAAGCGGCGGCGTGCGAACCGTTTCTTGTGCGACGCTTGAAAACTCAAATTTTCTTCGGCGCTGTAATCGTCTCTCTTGGCACGGCACGTCAGGCCCCCAAGGCTTGAACCGCCACGCATTCGATGTCGGCGAAGCAACGGCCACGGGAAACACGCTCGCAAAGTCCACGCCAGCTAACAGCACGCAAGACACATGGATAAGTACGTGGGGTTCCTCGGCATCGTAATTATGTTGCGCATTCTTCCTTACGGCGCCCCCCCCCGATATCAGATTGGCGTAGACACCCCAAACGCCAATGCTGCACGATAAGACACATGGCCAGCACAACACGCCACAGCATGTTTTCCGCAGTCTGACACCCATACAGGGCACCGCAGAGTTTTCTTTGAAAGCACGGCATGGCATTGCGCGGCATTTTTCCGCATTTTGGAAAACCAATGGCGACACGGCAGCTTGTCGAATTCTGAATAGTTGTCAGAGCATGCCGATGTTTGCGCATGTTGCAAACGCGGCATTGCACGGAATTGTTCTCGCATTCTGGAAGCACGGCACAGCATGGCAAGTGTTGCAGCAATCCTGAAGCCATGCACGGCACCAGATTGCAGTTCTGTCGCACTCCGAGAACCAAGCACGGCACAGCACGGCAATTTTCCAGCATTTTGGAAACCAGGCACGACACGTCAATTTACCAGGCACGGAACGGCACGGCAATTTCGTCGCATTCGGATGTGTCGCATTATATCCCCTAGCGGTTCGCAGCTTGGCCCGCATGCGTGGCACGGAACGGCAATTGTTTCGCATTCAAGACACCAAGCACGGCACGGAACGCGAGCACGCCACGGCACAGCACATTTTTCGCAGTTAAGAAACCAGGCGCGGCACGGGGCATTGCACAGCACATTTATCGCACTCGAAGAATCAAGCGCGGCACGGCAAGGCACGCGGGCACAGCACCGCACGGCTCGGCATGTTGTCCTTGTCTAGAAACCAAGGGCACGGCACGGCACGCGTGCACGGCATTGCCCGGCACGTCATCTTCTTGCACTCCGAAGCCAAGCATGGCACGGCACGCGGGCGCGGCACGGCACGCGAGCGGGGCACGGCACGACACAGCACAGCGGGCCGCATATTCTTCGCATATTGGAGACGGAGCACGTCACGCGGGCACAGCACGGCACGGCACTCGGGCGGCACATTTTTCACCGAACGCGTCCCATTATTCCAAAAGTGCTTATTCGCAAAAGTTTGGGGGGAAGAAAACAACAACAACAACAACAACAACAATTACTAGCACGTGGGGACACTCCGTTCTCACCAGTGCCAGGGTTTTCATAGGAGGCGGGCGATACCCCCACTTTGTGGGGGGGGCCGGTTCAAGCTCTACCAAATTTCCAAACGACTCTTCGCCACCACCCACACCCAGCTTCCCGCCCTATGACGTTCGGACACTTCACTTCGTGGCATGCGGACGACCGTGGCTACTATTCAGGGCCCCGCGGCCGACGACGACGGCGTGCGCGCGCGAAGAAAAAACGAATGTGTCCCGCATGGTATTATTTGACAGGGATGATGGCCCTGGCAGGTGCGCAACCGTTGTCGCAGAAGTTCGAAAAAGTTGCTCGCAAAAGCCCGTTTGACAGAAATGTTTAAAAAGTGTTGGGTTTCCTACGAATCCGCAAGAGCGCGCGGGATGAGATTTTGACATTTTTTTGTTGAAAAACCATTGGTTTTTTGATGTTTTTATGTTAAAATCGCTCCGAACACTAAGCTTTTGGAAGGATTTCGTCTTGCGCGCGCGAATGTCCACTTTACCTTATTTTTTGCAAGGGATTCTTGAAATTTGATTATATTAGAACAAGAAATGTCATTTTATAGTGTTTTTTGCAAGGGAAAACGGATTACAACAAAACAACCGGATCTGGATCACATCGTTTTACCTGAGGCTTCCTCACGAAAATGATGAAAACGTGGCTGCGGCCTAGGCGCGGCGGGGGGGCGCGCACCAGGGGGCCCAACAATAATTATTCTTTAGAATAAATAATGTTCAACAACAACAACAACAACAATAACAACAAAAGAACGTGCGTGCTTCGATGTAGTGGATCGTAAGTCCCCCGCGGCGGATGCAGGCCGTTTGCGAGTAGTTGTTTTGCGAGGAGTCGAACACACTTGTCGAATTCTGGCATTCTGGCAAGGAGCATCACTTCCTAAGGCAATTCGGACCTCTTACAGCATTCGCTATTTAGGGACGTGCATTTTGGTCAGAGGCTCGAATGGAGCCGCCGTGACGACGAGGGGCCCCTCGGAGGCCCAAGCGTGAGAAAGGACGCCGCAAAAACGCAAGCCTCGAGCATCGATCCTCAGCTTCCCCGAAAACAAGAAGAGGGGCGCCATGAAACCTGGAGAGCTGCCATGGCGCCACGCCGTGATACGGTGGAAATCCATGCTAAGAAGCGCCATGCTTGCCTCCAGGCTGCCCTGGGTTTCTTGACTCTCGATGGTCTTGCTACGGAAAGCGTGACGTCCACACGCCAAAAATCCAGGGACGCCCTGGGGTCATCAGGGTCGGGCTCCTTGTGGAAGGCTCCTTGTGGTCGAGCTCCTACTGCATCCACCCACCCCGTCGCCGCCACCACCCCCCCCCCCCCCCCCCTCCTTGCCGCCCCCGATCGTGCCGCGGGGGGCCCCGCCGCACAGGCGTGGTTCCGAGGACCCGGGGCCCCAGGCCCTACCCTGGCTTCCCCTGGCGGCCTGGGCGGGCGGCCGCGGGCCAGGCGGCGACGGCGCGCAGCCCACTTCCCCTCCCCCTCCCCTTCCCTCTGCCTCCCCCCGTTCCTCCTCCTCCTCCTCCTCCTCCTCCTCCTCCTCCTCCTCCTCCTCCTCCTCCTCCTCCTCCTCCTCCTCCTCCTCCTCCTCCTCCTCCTCCTCCTCCTCCTCCTCCTCCCATGTGCGCATGCCTTGGGGGATTGTTGATTGGATTGCGAGAGAGGAATAGAGAGAGAGAGACACACACACACACACACACACACACACACACACACACACACACACACACACACACACACACACACACACACACACACACGCACACACGCACACACGCACACACGCACACACACACAGACACACACACAGACACAGACACACACACACACACACACACACACACACACACACACACACACACACACACACACACACACACACATCTGTGCGGACACGCGTGTCCAGGCCGGCGGGGACAAGCGCCTGCCTGGCCTAGCTCAGCTAGGGCCGAGCACAGCTCGTATGAAGAGGGGGTCCACGAAACGACCCTCCCCCCTGGCGCCGAGGCGACTGGACAGGAGGCGCGGGGCGGTGGCGGGGCAAAGAGAGAGAGAGAGAGAGACTGGAAAAGATCGCCGTCAGGAAAGACCGGCTGAGCGCCATCGACAAGGTCCGAGCCGCTTCGGCGCGACTCCAGGCCACGGCCATGCTGTCGGGCAGCGGGCGCGCCCCCTGAGGGGGCGCAGCAGATCCTCCACGCCTTCCTCCAAAGGAGGAGAGCACCTTCGGGGAACCGAGCATTGCATAAACATACATTTCTGGAGGTCCGCGCGGGTTTCTCGGATCGGCGTTGGGGCCCCTCGGCGGCGCCTCTGGCGCCGCCTTTGGCGCGCTCCTCGCACCAGGGCGGGGGGTCCAGCGCCGATTTAAGAAATCCACGCGCGGACCTCCAAAAATCGTTTATACCGTCTTGTGATCCCCAGACACCTGGGCCCACGAGCGACGAACACACCCACGGCCATGCCCTCGCGGTCTGGACACCGAGGCGTGACCCCACGCACTTCTGTAGGTCGGCGGCGCAGAGGGTCCTCCAGCGCGGGCAGCACATACATGTGCGAATTGCGATCGAGCATTGCCGCGATCCCACGCGCACGCGATCCTGCCGTGTGCGCTCCGCGCGGGGCATCCGCGCAGAACCGCCGCGTGTTCCACGGGGGCCGCGGCCGAGGAGTCCAGACCGCGAGGCCGTGGACGTGGCTGTGTGCGCGCCCGCCCACGGCGTAGACCCCCCCCCCCAGCCGCAGCGACGCGCGCAGACGGGCCGCCCCGTGCCGCGCGCTGCTCCACCTTCCGGCCCCGCCCGGGCATCCGCGCACCGCGACCGCTGGATGCCAGGGCTGGCTCCCCTCCCCTCGGCGGCGAGCGAGGAGGGGAGCGCGAGAAGGGGCGGGCTTTCTCAGGAGGCTCGGAAGTCCCCCAGCCTTCTGAGCAGTGTCCGAAGCCTCCCCTGAAGACAGAGGAAACTTCTCGGAGGGCTCGGCGGCCTTCTGAGAAGCCCCGCCGCCTGCTGAGAAGGCCTTCTCCTTCTCACTTCCCCCCCCTCCCCTCGCTCGCCGCCGATCCCTGCGCGCCTGCCTCCCAGGGCTAAGTTGCCGGACGACGGGGGGCACGTGCGGGCGCGCCCCAGGGGCGGCGGGAGGAGCAGGGCGGGGCGGGCAGGGCCGGCGGAGAGCGGCAGCAGAGCGAGGCACGGGGAAGCAGCGGCAGAGGGCGAGGGCCAGGAAGGCCACGGCGGCGAGGAGGAGACTGGAGCGAGGCCCCCCCGGGAGGACAGCGAGGGAACGCTCAGACAGGAGAGGGTCTGACGCGCTGCATGGTTCCAGCGCGCAGGGAGGAGAAGGAGGAGGAGGAGGAGGACGAGGAGGAGAAGAAGACGACGAAGAAGACCAAGAAGAAGAAGAAGAGAAGCAGGAGAGAGGATCAGACGGAGGAGATGAGGAAGAGGAGGAGGCGGAGGAGGAGGTGGAGAACGAAGGCCGTCAAGGGCAGGCGCTGCCGCGCAGGCGGTGCACGCCGCGCCCCTGGGCACGGGACGCGGAGCTGCTCCGCAGGCCGTGCCCAGTGGTTCGCAGCAGGTGGCGCCACTCGCGGGAGTCCTGCTCCGAGCGGAACGCCGAGCTCGAGCGCGACAGCGCGGGCATGGCCATCAGCTCGCAGGCTCGCGGCTGGCGGTCGCCGCCGCCGCCGCCGTCGCCACGGGCCGCCGCTGGAAGCCAGCTGGCTGGCCAGAGCGGCCGCCGTGGTGTTGCACCGCCAGGCGCTCCCCGAGCAAGGGCCGCCGCCGTCGTCAACGGGCCCGCCTAGGCGAAGGCGGCGAGGCGGCGGCACGGGGGCCCCGCGGCGGGCGTAGCCGCAGCCCCCCACAGCGACCAGCGCCACGATTGGGCTCGCGTCGAGCCCAGGCGCTTCGGACGGAAAGACGCCATGGCCACTGCGGATGGCGGCGAGGAGGAACATGGGTACAGGCTTGCCCCGAAGTGGAAGCCGCATCCGCGTGCCGCCCCGCCACGCACTGTTCGAGGTGCTTGCCTGCATGCACGCACGCACGTTCTGAATGCTCGCCCTCGTCAGCCTCGACGCTCACGCCGTCTGGGGCTGGGGGTTATTCTCGGCATCCCAGATGGGGTCCGAGCAGATGGAGTCGGAGGATCGCGCCGCATCATCGATGCGTTGCCGATGCGGCTCGACGTAGAGCCCGACTCCCTGCACGCCGACGGCGCCGATGCGTCGCCGACGTCGCCGATGCATTGCCGAGGCATCGCCGATGCGGCGCGATCCTCGGACCCCATCTGGTGGGCCTCGGATGACGGGTCCCCCTTCACGGAGGCCCCCGCGCGAGGCCGCAAGAACGCGGCGCGTGCTCGCGGCCAGCTGTGCAGACCCGCGCGGCAGGCACCGTGCCCCCGCCCGGGGAGGGCAGAGCGGCGCCGTGGGCCCCACCGGCGGCCCGCGGGCAGCCCGTGGGAGGGGGGGAACAGTCGGCTGCGCGTAAGAGTGGCCCTTCGCCGGAGCTATCTCTGGTGAGGGCCCACGGGGGCCCCCACGCTAAGGATCCGTACCACAGATTGAGGGGAGAAAGAATTATTGACGTGTTTTGTTGAGTGAGATTTTGTTGAAATCGATGTGAACGTGTTTAACAAGCACTGGCGCGCCCATTAAGCGGAGTTGGACTCAGCGCTGGCCGGCGCGCGCCTGGACTGCTTGGATTTGGTCTCCCCCGCGGTCCCTTCAGGTCGCGCACCAAAGGCCTCTCTTGCCGCAAGGGGCACTCTGTCGTGTAGTCTTAAGTCGGGCACGTCCCTCTGCAGGAGGGATCTTCAAAAGTAGTCAAAAAATAGTCTGGCGACGATTTTTCTAGTATGTTCGACCATTTGGGAGTATTTGTTGACTATTTTCCATTTTTCGTCCAAAATCCCCCTGTAGGAGGACATGCCCGACCTAAGTGCAACCGAGGGGTAGCACACGGAGCCGCTCAGGGCTTACGCCTGGAACGACCTGCCCAGCCGCTGGCCTCAGCCCGCCTGACCGCGCGGCGAGGACCTGGGCACTTGCCCGCCGCCCGTTGCGAGCTTTGGGCGCGGTTCCCCAGAAAGCCCCGTGGGTGTCTCAACGCTTTCGGACAAGGGCTGGACCTTCTGTTGCATTCGCTTGCAATCAGCCAGTCGGCAGAAGAGGCCGTGCCATTGCCGTCCAGTCCGACCTCTCGGGTCCTTTACAGATGCTCGCGAGGGCAGCCTCGCTGGGGAGTCGGCGAGCCCGAGCGCCGCGGCCGCCTCGCCGCGCGCCACGTGCGCCGCCAGCTGCCCCCACTTGTTCCTGAGGCCAGACGCCCTCGACGTCGTCGTCGCCGCCCGCCCTCGTCGGCGCCGCCGGGCGTCTTCGCCCACCCTCATATGGGCGGGGGAGAGAGAGAGCCCTCTCCAGGCTGGGCACGCCGCTTCCGCTTTGCATGGAATCGCGGTTTCCCGCGGCGGCGCAGAGGGCCACTGCTGGGTCGATCGGCATCGGGACGACGACCTATTCACATGTCACGCGACACCGGTGCTTGTTGTTGCTGGCCCTTGCCTTGGTATACACACCTCTGCCGTGTGTACCGCTGGCTGGAGAACCGCTGCGCGCGCGTGCGCCGCCGCGGATCAGTCGGCCCCGACGACAGCGGCAACGAGGACTAGAATGAGAGCCCTCCCCACGAGGTACCAGGCGACGGCAACTGGCAGCACTGCTGCCTGGCGGTCGCGAGCGTCTCTGGCGACCTGCGCCAGCGGCGCGGCTGCGGCTACGCCAGCCCCAGGGCGCGGAGCGGCCGTGGAGGAGTCGATTATCTTTTCGCGCACACCTGCGCACGCGTCCCTGCGCACTCCGGCACCGAGCATCTGGCGCCCACATGCGGTCATCCACATGGCTGCGAGCGCCGGTGGGCCGCGCAGGCCCGGGCTCTTCCGCTCGGGCCATCAGAAGCTGCAGCGTGGCAAAACGTTATCTGCACTCCGGTCCTCGGCGGAAGGGGGACGAAGAAGGTGCGCAGAACGTGCCAGGGCAAGCCCACCGCTGCTGAGGAGGAGGACGAGGATGAGCTGGAGAGGTGCAGGCGGCCGTGCCGGGGTGGCGGGCGGCGAGCGCGAAGGGTTCGGCAGCTGCGCGGGACGGCGCGGCAACGTGCGCCTGCCCCCTTGTCGCTGCACACCCGCTCCAGGCAGAATCGTTTAACCGATCCCTATCCCCATCCCAATCTCGATCCCCACCATCCCACCACCCCAGTTGAGGATACGTGCCCACGCCAGTGGGGAAAGGGATCGGTTCAACGATGCTCATCCAGCGCCGCGGCGGCGCCGCGGCAGCACAAGCGCGAGTCGGGGGCGAGCCGGGCGAAGCGCCACCAGCGCCACCGGCCGCGGCGCCGTCGGCCGCCCACGCGCGCGCCCGACCCGCGCGCCGGCGTCGGGGCACCCGTGCTGAGGGGAAAGGCCCGCGGTCGAACGGCATGCGATCTGCAACCATCGCCGCGGGTGCATGTCATGTCGACCCTGGCGTTGGTTCCTGACACCGCGGGGATCATTCAACCTTGACCGATGAGCCGTTTCCGAAAGGTCGGATCGTTCAACATCGACCGATTCTGGGACTCCGAAACCAAGCATGGCACAGCACACGATCTCCGAACTTTTGTATGGTGGCGCCCAGAGGCAGGCACGTCTGATAAGGCAGGGGCCTTCTGAGAAGGGCATGGCAGCTTCCATGAAGGCTTCTTGAAGGCCCCTGGGCCCACCCTGCCTTCTAAGAAGCCCCCCCCCCCATGCCTCCTCGGAAGGCAGCCACCATCGCGACACCCCCCTTGTGGGCACCCGCCAGCCGCGCAGCCAGTCGGTCGGTCAAGAGCCGCGCCCCGACGGCGCGTCGGCAGAAGTATTGGGCACGTCCAGCCACAGGAAATATGACCGGGCTTCGGAGGACAACTCCCTGCAAGTGTTGCACCCATGGCACTCGAGGATGGCAGCAGCGCGGCCGAGCCTGCAATCCGCCTGCAGCGGGCGCACGTGCCACCTTGGGGGGGGGCCGCGCAGGCGTCCCCGCTGCCCAGTCCGAGTCGCGGAGGGCGGGCTGTGGCATCTTGCGCGGTCGCCCTGGAGTGCCCATGAAGACGCCGCGGTTCCGAGGTACGGTTCCAGAGGAGTCGGCACC